ATTATATTATATTATATTATATTATATTATATTATATTATATTATATAACATAGTGCAGCAGCTGGGCGTGGTGATGCATGCCTTTAATTCCAGCACTCAGGGAAACAGAGGAAGGAGGATCACTGTAAGTTTGAGGCCAGCCTGGTCTACAAAGCCAGTCCAAGACAGCCAACGCTACACAGAGAAATCCTGTCTCAAAAAACCAAAAAAAGAAAAAAGAAGAAGAAAAAAGTACAGCTTTAAAAGCCCCAGTCTTTAACTTTTTTAACACTTTAAAAAAACAGGGTCTTATTTATTTATTTATTTAAATCCAAGTCTCTTAACTGTGAACTTCAACAAAACAGAAAACAAGTTGCAGAATTTCTTACCCCCAAAGGAAAGATATGATCAATCAGATGGAAGCAAAACTAAAATCCCGCAGCGTGAATAGAAATTCTGTGTAGCTCGGTGTCTGACATTTGGAGCTCATTCATGATCTTCTGGACGTCAAAGGGCTTGGCTGGCCCCACTTCTCCAGCTCTGCCATTCGTGGCACACATGGCTTGTCTCGTAGCCTGAGGTCAGCTCCATGCCATGCTTGTTTCTGTCCTTGGTAGACACCCCACCATCCACACACCCACAGCCCACACTCCCACCATTACTAATATGCTGATGGCTCCCATGGAACTGAGGCTTCGCAGAGACCATTGGCCTTTCTTGGTCTTTCTTCACAAACTCCAACCCTGCAACACAGTGCCAGCTGCTCTTCGTGACTCCATTAATCACACAGCATTCAGACCTTAAAAATCGATGCCACGTGGGAGACTCTTATACCAGTCCATGGACCACTTGAGCCTTGGCTTCTGGGTGCAGCCGTGAGAACATACTTTCCACTGTCCCAGGGAAGCACAGAGAGATTTACCTCAATAAGCTGGTCTCTTATTAATAATGGCTGATTCTTCAACCCTAGCTGACCAGCCAATGCTCTGAACCCCTGAGCCATCTCTTCAGCCCACCCCCCTAGCTGGCCAGCAAGCACAGGTTGGTAATTAAAAATATCACACAAATGGCACAAGTAGAGACTGCTTCCTTCTGAAACCGCATGAGTCAGGCTTCCACAGTCTTCGTTTCTCCCTGCATTCCTGGCATCCATGTCCCCACAAAGTATTCCATTAATCTTCAAACACTCAATCATTTTTCCCAGCTTAAATTCCAAAGTCCTCCACAGCCCTCCAACAGAACACCCCAAAGGCATGAAATCCCACATGTTCAGGTACATCACAGCGACATCTTGGTACCAATTGCCATTGTCTCTACTTTTCTGTTGCCATGCTAAAACACTCTAACCAAAAACAGCTTAGGGGAGAAAAGGGTTTATTTGGCTTTCACTTCCGGGTGACAGTCCATCCTGGAGGGAAGAACCTGAAGCAGAGGCCAGGGAGAAACACTGCTCGGCGGCTCATCCTCTGGCTCAGCCCTGGGCTCCTGCTTGGATGACTATTACACAGCCAGGGGTCTCTGCTTAGGGATGGTATCACTATGGTGGGCTGTTTCCTCTTAATTAATGATCAAAATGTTTCCCTCCCCCTTCCCCACAGCGGGCATGCCACAAGCCAATTCCTGAGTCAAGGCTTTTCTCTCTGTAAGGTTGTGTCAAGGTGACAATTAGCACTCACAGATTCTCTCAGGGATAAAACAGATGACACTTAGGTAAGCACAATGACCCCCCCCCAGCTTGCACTAGCCACTTGGCAAACCCATCCTGCCCTGCCTTCGTTCCCACTCAGGTGACAGTTGGGATTTGACTTGTGTCCTGCCTTCTGGAAGGAAGAGGTCAAAGTTCTGGACACCAAGAAGGCAGGCAGAATAAGCATTCCTCTTTTTAAAATGCAGGCAGGCGCTCCTCTGAAAAGCTTTAACCATAACCCCATCAAGTGTGTCTGGGGAGGTGGAGCTGCCCTGGGGAGCAGGCGCCCAGCTCTCTGACTCCCCACCCCCTCCTGCTTCAGGCTGAGCTTTTCCGGTTTACTCTGGCCTGAAGCTGGTAGGCTGGGTGTTGACCCAAGAAACTGGATCTCCTCTCTGCTTCTTCTCTGAGCATCCTGAGCATCCCAGAGGCCCCTGGTGCTCCAGATCCCACTGTAGGAACAAGGACACCGACTGCTGGGGGTTCCACGATGTCTCGGCTTCCCACACACCCTAGCCAGGCCGTTTCTGCCTGACCTGGTGACCTGGCGGTGACCTTGCTATGCTTACAGCTGCTAATTTTTCTCCCCGAAACAAGAGAAGCAACAGCCTCAAAATAAATTCGCTTTAAGAGAACAACTCAAACCAGCTTCAGGGAATTCCGACTTCCGTCGCCTTGTTATGCTCCTAACGGGCGTTAACATTAACCTGCAGTGGTTTCCATAGAGGAGCATGAACCTGTGACCGCCTAAACCCTACTCTGAGATGTGCTCCCCATTCACCTCTGCCCTGACCTACACCACTGCAAGGGCAAGTGCCTGAGAGAAGGCCCTGAGGTGCACAGCCAGACTCCTACCCTGTGCTCTCTCTGGTGGGGAGCGATGCCAGTCACACACCTGGGGAGAAGGAGAGGACTCGCTTGGGTGGCACATCCACGCCCGTCTCAAGACAGTGTGCTGGCCTCAGAAGCCATCTCAACTCACCAAAGATTGGTGAAGAGTCAGCCCAGGGGCTCAGTAAGGCCATGGACCGGAAGTGACCGTCCTCAGAGCCATCCACTTGGCAACATCCCCCCTCCAGGATGATAAAGGCGTGCAGGTGTCAGATGGAAGAAGAAAATGGCTGCCAAGGGGAGAGGCGGGGACAGGGACTGGAGAGATTAAAATAGCTGGGGCTGGCCTTTGGTAGCCTGGGCTTGCTCCGCAGGTCCAAGCTGCTGAGAGGAGAAAAGTGAGACTCTGAAAGAATGGTGGCCAGAGTGCCGAGCAGCCGGTGTGTGCAGCGGCAAGATTTAAAACCGAACCTGAGCACTTAGGCCCCGCCTGCTTTCTCGGGAAGGAACATTCAGACAGCCGGTTGCGAAATCTGGCTTAGAGATTTGGCTCTCCGTCTTCGGTGGTCAGTCCTCTCAGAGCGCACAAGTGAATGACTGCCTGGGTGTGTCCTTCACACAAGGACACATGGGCAATCACTCACAATGTGTGCACGTACGTAGTCACGTAAGTGTGTGCACCCACACAGAGATTCCTGCTGAAGCTTTTACGTAGTGAAACTGGGCCTTGGTCTGGAGAGATGGCCCAGGGGTTAGAGCACACACTGCTCTTGCAGAGGACCCGGGTCCGGTTCCCAACACTCAAATCAAGTGGCTCACTGCTGCCCCTGTTACTCCAGTTCCAGGGGATCTGGTGGCCTCTTTTGGCCTCTGCAGCCACTGCATTCACAGACTAAAAGGCACACCACACACACACACACACACACACACACACACACACACACACACACAC